TGTAATGGGATACTAAACACTAGTGGAAATGCACAGTTTACAGCTACACACAACACCGTGGACGGATCCCCCAAATGCATTGCTGAGTAAAGGAAGCCACATAAAAGAGTATGTGTGGTACGATTCCATTCACAGAAAGCCCGGAGAGGCAGAAACCACGTGTGTCGTGGAAGCCCGGGTGACGGTCATCCTTGTGGGTTTCGGGGGAGGGGATGAGACTGGAAGGAGCAGGGTGGGGGTTTTCTGGGGGCTGGTTTCCACGTGTGTTCTATTTGTGAGATGCACTGAATTGTACACTTATTTTATGTGTGCTTTTCTGTATGCAAATTATTCTTTACTAAGAAGTTGAAAATATATAGTTACCTAGCGGCTCCCCCGAGAGGCTCTGATTTAATTGGTGTGAGACAGGGCTCAGGCATCATTTTTTGGTTTGCTTTTTGGAGAAGCTCTCCATGTGATGCTCACGTGTAGCCAGCAGGCTGCACATAAGAGTTGACGGGACGGTCTCTCTCCTCCGTGAAGGAGGTGGTGCGCTGTGTGCTGAGGTGGAGGTGGGCCACCTTGGTGGCCTGTGAGTTTTGTGCTTTCAGGGACGTGGTGCTAAGGTGTGGTTTTTTTGTTTGGAAGAGGGCTCTACTTGGAGGTCCCCGGGGCCCAGGGTCCTAGCTGGCTGCCGAAGGGGAGAAACTGTCGCTGGGCCTGGTCTTGAGAAGGGCTGGCAGGCCCCCCAGGATGCTCTAGTATCTCGAATGCCCAGGAGAAGTCAACTTGGGAGGCCCCCAAGTTGCCCCAGGGGACCTGCCTGCGACCCTGGAGGCCTGGCTGGCTCAGGCTGCTAGGCCTGGCTTTCTGCTTCAGCGTGGCTGGGGGTATGGCTTGGAGGAGCCCGGCGGGGGGTGGGGGGGTGGGGTTTGCCCTGGGGCTATGAAGGGTTGAGTGTAGACAAGGGGGCTGGGTAAGCTGGAGGAGTGTTGCCTGGGCACAGGACAGCCCAGGGGCATGCCCTTCAGTGGACAGTGCAGGGAAGGCAGGAGGGCCCCAAATACCACATCCATCCCATCCCGTCTGAGCCACTTCCTCCTTTTTCTTATGTCTTCTGCCTCCCACTTGAGCTCCCCGTTTGGTCAGTCAGCCAGGATGGACTGGGTGCCTGGCAGTGCTGGGCTGGTGCTGACGCCTGCTCCATCTGCCTGCAGGGGCCCCATGGGCTCCGTCCTCCATGCCGTTCCCTCCTGCTGCCTGGCTTTGTCCTGCCCTCCCCGCTCTGGGAGTGTCACCATCTCTCTTTCTCTGTCTCCTTCCTTCGCGGTAGCAAACACTGGGTGCCTGCTGTGTGCTGGGGATACAGGGATGGATGAGACACACCCCTGCTGGAGCTCAGAGTCGACTGGGGGCAGACGGATGTGTAGACAGACAAGCACAGTCTGGTGTGGTAAGTGCTGGGGCGACAGCATGACGGAGGGGACGAGGGACCGCAGAAGAGGGACTGACCAGCGCTGCAGGGGGGAAACCAGGGAAGGCTTCACAGAGGAGGTGACATTTGAACTGGGGCTCTAAAGATGAGCGGAATTCCCCAGGTGGATGTGCGTGGAGAGGAATTCCAGGTGCGGAGGACGGTGCGGAGGACGAGCCCCTGGGGAGGGCGACTGCAGCAAGGAAGCTGGGGCTCAGGGGAGCCTTGTGGGGGAGCCTGGGAAGGGAAGCAGGATGCTCAGGAAGGCCTGCAGAGGTGGCGAGAGGGAACTCAAGAAGGAACACCAGCAGCAGAGCAGCGGGATCGGCTCTGGGCCCCAGGTGGCTCTGTTGGCTGTGCAAGGTGCGGAGAGGGCCAGGCATGTGAGCAAGCTTGTCGCCTGCATCTGCGGAAACGACGGTGGTGATGCGGCTGGCCCGCGCAGCAGGAGTGGAGAAGGTGGATGGGGTCGTGGGTTAAGCGGTGGTAGGGCTCTTGGGGCCTTGGGGATCGATTGGTCGTGGGGGTGGGGAGGAGAGAGCTACGGATTCTGGCTGGGGCCGCTGTGGCAGGAGGAACCTTTCAGGGATGTTGGGTGCTCGGAAGGAAGCAGATCTGGGGGGATGACACCGAGTGCGCCTTGCTGGATGCATCCTGATGGCGGGCTGAAGCTCAGGAAGAGAGGGGGTGTCAGGTTAGAGATTTAGATTTGGGAGTGCCCGCCTAGTGGGAGTATTTTGAGCCTGGGAAACATCGAGAGTGGAGTGTACATGGCAGGTGTCCTGTGAAGCCTGGAGTTTGCAGGACGCAGCTCGACTCTGGCACCTCTGGATGCCCTCCTGGTTGTCTCTCTCTTCCTCCCCTACTCTCTCTGTGGCTCCCCTTTCTTGACTGGCCTGGCTCCTCTCCTGACATCTCCCCGGATCTGCTAGCTGCCCATCCCTGCCCTTTCAGCTGCCCTGAGAGGCAGGCCCCACGCTGGGCTCATGGCACGATAAGCTCAATATTTGTGGAGGGAATGAAGGCAGGCTTACGGGCGGGTCAAGTTCCTGCTGCGTCCTCTGGAGAGGCATCCTGCCCTGGGACCAGGCTCAGCAGGGTGAAAGGGCCCCATCGGGGCCTTCCCCAACCTTTTCTACCTTCTCTAATGTCCAAAGTATTGGGCCTCCCCTTGATTACAATAATGATATTTTGGGGTGGGGGGCTTTGATTGAAAAAACAGACACAGATTTGAGGACTTCTGATCTTACCCCACAGTGTGGAGGTGGGTGGGACTGGATGGGCCGGGGCTGTCGTTCACAACGCACAGAGCAGCTGGCTTGAGGAGGTCTGTGTGGGAATGCAGAGGCCGCCAGCACGGTAGGGGGGGGCCCAGGCTGGCCCCCCCATTCTCCAGCTTCCTGCTCCCCTCCTGACTGGTTCTGTGGTGACCACTCTGCCCCAGGCCTACCTGTGCGTCCGACTTGGCTCCCGTGTCTTTATTTGTACTCATCTCAACACTGTAGGGGAGAAGACTGGTGGAAAGTCTGACTTGATCATTTTGAAAGCAGTACCTTGGGGCCCCAGGCGGGGTCTCTGTATCAGGAACATTAGGAGGCCGGCCAGGAGGGACTGGCCTTCACAGATGGACAGGTCGGAATGGCTTGTAACCATCCTGTTCATCATGCGTAAACGGGTTGCTTTTAAGTTTAGGGATATTTGAAAGCCATTTGCTCCCAGTCACTGTGTTTTACCCCCCGTTCTAGTCTTCCTGGAGATGCTGTGGGGAATGTGCAGAGCCTTCTTTTGTTTTTCTCACGGTCTGTCCCTCCTCCAGCCTCGCTTCCTGTCCCCACAGGGTCATTCCTCAAACGGGTCCCGTGTGCCTGCTGCATGCGGGCTCTGCCCCCAGCTCAGGGCCTTTGGTGAGGGAGGAGGCGGGGTCCCTGCCATGCTGGAGCCCCCGGAGGTGAGCAGTTTAGGCACCGACCCGGTGTGACAAGTGCCCAGAGGGAGGCAGGGATTGGGGTGCTGTGAGTGTCTGCCCCGGGGGCTCCTCACTAGGCCGGGGGAGGGTGGAGGGCAGGCTCCCCTCTCCTGGAGAAAGTCACGCCGGACCTAAGGATGAGTTCGGTCTAGGATCCCCGCACAGGCATGATGATGAACGCAAAGTTAGATTATGGGAACCTATGCAGGGCGATAGTCCTACCCAGCCGGTAAGGTTCGGCTTCCTTTTCTCTGGGAGCCCTTCTGTGACTCTCGCTCTGTCTGCTCTCTGAGCTCCTACGGCCCTGACACCTCCAATCACCCTTTCCAGTGCCTGAGTGACAGGCTCCCTGCCGCTGAGACCATGGCCAAGGTCCTGCTTGGAGGTCTCACTCTATCCCTGGTCCTCCAGGTTAAGAGTGTGTTCCTTCGAGCAGGCCCCACACCCTTCTCTTTCCTGGTGGCCCAGGAAAGCTCACAGGCTGCAGGGTCCAAGCTCAGTGGTTTGACTTGTGCACGCTCTGCATTGGGGGCCTCTCCAACCAAAGCATGCAAGCCAAGTGGGGAACCAAGAGATGGAAGACGTGGAAGGAATCTACCACACAAAAATGGAACAAAACCACAGGCAAAACTAAAGGCAAATGACACACTGGGGGAGATGTTTATAAACATGATAAACTAAGGATTAATGTTCTTGAAAAAGCATTTAATACAAATCAGTAAGACAAACGTGGAGATCCTCATAGACAATTCACAGGTGGAAGTTCCAGGGGTTCATATGCCTACATGGGAAAACTCATTCAACCCCTCCATAAGCAGAAATAGAAATGAAAATAGCATGTTTTCACGTACCAAATTTGAATAGCCAGGGTAAGACCTCGGTTTTGAGAAACGGGCGCCCTCACGTAGCGCTGATGCTCGTGGTCACCAGCAGAGCATCTGGAAGCAGTTTGGAGTGGGTCTAAAGAGCCTGAGAAATATGCATTCTCCACCCACGAATCACACTTCTGAGAGTCTGTCTCAGCCATGGACAGGGACACGGGGAATTCCTCATGAGATCATGTTAAGCAACAAAAGTAAGACCTACGTATTATAATGCATAATTCCACTCCCATAAATTCTATATTTATGCATAAACCTTTTCTTTGGGTGATTCTTGAAGAATTTTTTTCCTTCTGGGCTATTTTGATCATCATATGTATAGGTTTTATCTTTTTCATATTTTCTATAATGAGCAGAATAAAAATCAAGAGGGGGAGGGAAAACCCTCTTGAAATGTGAAATGATGGAACCAAATAAATCTAGAAATTACCTTTGGGGGTCAAAAGGGTCAAATCACTAGCAAAACTTGTTGCTTTGCAAGATTCAGGAACCATGTTGATATGTGCACCAAAATGCTCCACAAGGGCAAGGACAGAGGTCACCAGGCCACAGGGCTGTGGATGGGCTGACTTTGTGGGGTGAGGTCGCCTGGCTCTTCACTGCGTGATACTGGGTCCAGCCGGTCCCTTGCCTGGTCTGTTTCCCACTGTGTACACAGCATGGTGGGGGGGTCAGACTAAATCATCTCTGATCTTGGCAGATCTCAGCTGAGTGGGCAACTCCGTTCTTGAAGAAGAGAACTTTGACTCGCCCCAGTGAGAGCTGAGAGGGACTGCGGGCTGGTATTTGCAGGCCTCAGGTTCCAGCTCCTTACCTGCCCAGGACCTTGTGGCCTGTTTGCGACCACTGCAGCGCCCTGCCTTGGCCCTGCTTCTTGGCCACCCTCTCTTCCCGTCAGCTTCTGGGCCCACTCTTTTGGGGGTGAGTCGGGCTGCTCAGGTTTTATTGATTCCTAGCCTGTCTCCTGGAGGGGCAGGAAGGGGGGACCCTATGCTTTGGAGCTGTTTAGGGGAGGCATGAACTCAAAAGTCACTGGGGAGCCCCACCTGCCCAGGGAGATGGCGGCTCCTCCCTCCAGGGCTCCCTCTCTGCGACATTTTTGAGACGGCTTGGCTCTCAGGGCCAAGGTGCCCTGACTGTCCGAAGGCCACCAGGCCACCTCCTGGTGCGGGGCCGCTCCTCCCCTCCCAGCCCATGGTTACCTGTGGGCTGACTGGAGCCCCCCCCCCCAACACACACCATCACTGCACCAGTTCCTCAGCTCTGCTTCGGCCTCCTGTGCTCAGCATCCTTCCTCAGATCCCGATGGCTTATGGGAATGCCACCCAGGCACCTCAGGAACTTCTACTGTCAGCCGTGAGCAAGTCTTAGAGTCCTTCCCACTGTGCTTTCTCAAGGGTGGGCCAGGTGTGCCCCACTAAGGTAGGCTGATTTTCCTTCCGGTCTGGGCATAAACTGACCTGCAGGCTTCCAGAAAATGCGGCATGAGCTTGCCCCCTCTGTCAGGAACCAGAGCACTCCTGCCTGAGCTGCTGCCTCTGACCGGTCACATCTTCAGCCTCCGCCTGAATAGCAGGGCCCGTCTGGGGTGCAGGCAGAGGAGCCGGCCTGGGCGTGGGAAGCTGCTAGGGAAAGGTGCTCCCACAGAGCCACCCTTCCTGATGTGGGCCTGTTTCTGTGCAGCAACCAACAGATGCGTGGAAAGACGGCTTCTCTGAAGAGCCCCGTGTCCTGCTCAGAGAAACTAGCCAGGGTTCAGGCACCCCTGGACTCCAGGTGAGGCCCCTCCCGGTCAGAGATACCTACAGATTAGGGGTGGGAAGCCCTCAGGAGGACCTTAAAGAAAGGGGCAAATAAAAAAGAATGAAATCTTGCCATTTGCAACGACATGGTTGGAGCTAGAGAGTATTATGCTAAGTGAAATTAAGTCCAAGAAAGACAAATACCGTATGACTTCACTCATATGTGGAATTTAAGAGACAAATCAAACGAGCAGAGGGGAGAAGAGGAGAGAGAGAGGGACAAACCAAGAAACAGACTCTGAACTCTAGAGAACACACTGATGGGCACTAGCGGGGAGGTGGTTGGGGGGATGGGTGACATGGGTGATGGGGATGAAGGACTGCGCTTGTGATGAGGGTGATGTATGGAGGTATTGAATCACTGTATTGTACGCCTGAAATTAATATTGCACTGTATGTTAACTAGCTGGCGTTTAAATAAAAAATAAAAAAAGAAAGGGGCAAAGGGGTTAAAGAAGGGGCAGAAAGGGGACCTTGCGTCTGGTGTTAGGCTGGGCATAGGCTGCCCCGGGCCTCTTCTTCCCAGTCCGGGGCCTGTCCCAGCACACGGGGACCTAGCAGAGTCTAGGCTTCTCAGATTACCAGCCTCCTCCCTGCCCACCTGTCCTCAGGCCAACCTGGCCAGGGCGAAGCTTTGCGTTCCAGCACCACCCCCTCTGCCTCAGCCTTGGTAGCCTCCCTCAGGTCAGGTGAGTCTGCTGAGCTCCAGGCTGCCGGGAGGGAGGAGGCTGCAGGGAGGGCAGTCCTGCCCGGATCATGGCCCACGGCCAGGCCCCGGAGCCGTGAGTCTGACATCTCCACCTCACCCGCTCCCCAAACTGGTCCCCATCCCTGTGTCTCCTGCTCACCTATCCTTGGGTCTGCTCCTCTGCTTGTCCTTTGGCCAGAGAATGGGAGAGGGTTTTTGATACCCAGGGGTGGGCAGCTCCTAAGCATCTCTGGGAGATGGGAGATGGAGGCTCAGGCGGATCATACCTCCTGGGGGGCCCGCTGCCCACTGCCGTCTGGGAGGAAGGCCCCCAGCGTGCAGGAGTGCCCTTCCCCAGGGCTGAGCTCCGTCCTCCCTGTTGCTTCTCACCTTGCTGGGGCTCCTAGAGAAGGGCCTCAGTCTTCAATCTCTCCCCCAAGCTTCTGGTTTGAGGCCAGGGCAGACCGGGCACTAAGGATGTATGGGCAGGACTCAAGGGTTCCTTCTCCCTGGAATGGAATCTCTTTTGCAGTCTGCACTGGCCAGAAGGCTTGAAGGGTGGAGACATAAAGAAGTGTGGCCGAGAAGGGGTAAGTGTGTGGAGGCCGCCTTTTCACTGCCCACCAAGGGAGGGGCTCTGGGCTGCCTGAATTCGGGGACTGTTGGCTCCTTGGCCGCCAAGGCCTGTCACCAAGGGAAACCTGAGTGAGTGTCCCCTCCTGGGTGGGGGTGGTGCGTCCCCCTCCCGTCATAGGCTGCCCCTCAGGACCTCCTGTCGTCATGTCACCGAGAGACAGGCTGTGCTTGGGACTCAGCCTTTCACCCACGCTGGCTCTTTGCCGACTGCTTGGCGCTAAGTCCACGGAGCCCCTGCCCCCATGGCATTATTTCCTGGTGGCTGGTGCAGGGCCCCTTTGGGGATCTAATCCCCCAGGACTTCTCAGCCCCAGCTTGTATGTTTGCAGACGCTGCTGAGTAAATACAACCAACAATACCACAAGCTGTTTAAGGACATTCCCTTGGAGGAGGTAGTTCTCAAAGGTGAGCTGTCTCCCAGGTGCGCCTGGACAGGTGCCTAGAGTGCCTGAGGCCCAGGTCCTCTCCTCTGGAGCCTCCAAGGCACAATTTTGATATGGGAACTGGCTGCCCTTTGCATGTGGTTGGGCCTGTTTTCTTTAGAAGTCTGAGAAGACCGGGCAGATGGGGGATCTGAAATGGGATTTATGAAAGTATTCTTGGGGCACTGTCAGGGCTTCCAAATTTTATTTCTGTTCTGTTCTTATCCATGACTGTTCTTTCCTGCTCAGGCTTCTCAGTGAGCATGTGGGAGCATTTGCACAATCGAGGCCCTCTCTCCAGGGCAGGGCAAGGTGTTCTGCCTGAGGGAGCGAGAATCCAGGCTTAGGGAACCCTTTGAAGCATGAGTAGAGGAAGAGGAAAGCTCTAGCAGTTTGGTGGGCTCAGGTGGGGCAGTCAGGACTCTTGAGAAGGACTCAGGGTGCTGGTGGAATGGGTGGTTTGGGGCCTGGGGTTGGGAAGGGGGATTCTGAGCAAGGCAGTCCCTGAGGCTGGGCTCTGGACTCCTGAGTGTGAGGACGCAGGCCCTAGGCCTTCGGGGTTGCTCATGGCAGTCTTCTTTCCTGTGAATTCCCAGTGTGTTCCTGCGCCCTCCAGAGAGACCTCCTTCTCCAGGGCCGGCTCTACATCTCCCCCAACTGGCTCTGCTTCCATGCCAGCCTCTTTGGCAAGGATATAAAGGTAGTAATAAGTGGTAAGGGCTGCAATGGGCCCATGAGGCCCCAGCCGGGAAAGAGACAGGGCCCCTATCCTGCGGGCATCAGGCACCTGGTGAAGCCTCTCACTGTGAGGCATCCCACCTGGTCTCCAGGGAAGTAGCTTCACCCCTTCCAAAGCAGGGCTCCGATCTAGACTCCACAGAGTCTACAACAGGTCATAGCCAGTTTATTTTGCCTATGGGTGCCTCTGAAATGCCTTCAGAATCAGAGTGGCATGTCACACTTTGGGGGAGCCATAGTTGTGGCCAGGTGATGGCTCAGGGAACTCCATTACTGGAGTATGGGATTCACCAGGGCAACCATCCTTGGCCTCCTGGATAATAGGGTGAGAGCCCAGAGGGCAGGGGCAGGGTGGTGGGACACCTGGAAGGGGAGCCTGCATCAGAGGGTGGAACGCTCACATATTCTCCCACCTAGGGCCAGGCTTCTCCATGGTGTCCATGCTTGGCTGACTGCCAGTCAGGGGGCACTACGCAGGAAGCAAAGGGACTGTGTCCTTGGGGGTGAGTCCTGAGAGAAGCATGCCTCTCCTCCCTCAGGTGGTCATTCCCGTGGTGTCTGTCCAAATGATCAAAAAACACAAGATGGCGCGGCTTCTTCCCAATGGCCTGGCCATCACCACCAACACCAGCCAGAAGGTCAGTGAGTCTCTGGACCGGCCATCCCTTGTAAGTCTCCTGTCCCAGCCCCAGGATCCTGACTCTGGTACTCTCCCCAGTCTGTATTTACACCGCCCTTTTCTGTTTTCTTTCTCTACCCCAGTACGTCTTTGTGTCACTGCTTTCCCGGGACAGTGTATATGACATGCTGAGGAGGGTCTGCACACACCTCCAGGTATGGAGCTCCAGGGCAGGAGTTGGGCCAGGGCGGTTGCTCAGGCCTAGACTGAGGTCTTGGGACCAGGCTGTTGGGAGAGGTTGGCCCATCTCTCCAGCATAGGGACCAAGAGCAGGGAGAGGCGAGTAATGGGCTCAGGCTCAGTGTATCTGAGCTCAGTCCTTGGGCGGGGTGTCTATGCTTGTGAGCGTGTCTCTTTGAGGCCAGTGTCTGCTGTGTGTCCCCATGTGTATGCCCTCATCATGCTTCTTCAGTGTGCAGACAGAAGCACGTGGCTGCTTCCCAGTATGCCTACAGCTCTCGTTGGCCCACGCTGAGGAAGTGGGGAGGGGCGGCAGCATGGGGAAGTACATTGCCTTGGATTTACCCTCTGCTCCAGCACTGACTAGGGGACTCCGGCAAACTCTGGGAGCTAGGCTTCCTCTGACCCAAGGTGGCTTATTTGGAGGTAAAGCTCTCTTGGAGAGTGCTAACACCTCCTCACTCCTGACCTTGGCTGTTCCTGATGGACAAGTGACCCCAGTTTCCTTTCTTCCTTAGCCTTCCAGCAAGAAGAGCCTGAGTGTAAGAGAATTTCCAGAGGAACCTGAGTGCGAATCCCTGGTGAGAACTGAGGTTGGAAGCAAAAGCTGCCGGTGTGAGGGAACCTATGGCTCTGAGGCTTCAGGGCCTCCCAGGCAGCAGCCCACAATGTCCCCTTGTCCCCTTCCAGGCTCAAGAGCCAGTGGCCGTGCTATGCCAAGGGGTCCCCTAGACCTGACACGCTCCGTGCCATGAGGAGCCACTATGTCCTGGGCAGATCTGCTGACTTTCTGAGCAGAACAGTTGTCCAGCCCCCAGAACGCTGCCCGGGTTGGATCCCACATCTGTACAGCCACAAAGCCAGTGACCCTCCTCTTCACTTTAGCAGGGTCAGCAGGGCCTTCCAGGGGATAGAGATGTCTTCGGGGAAGAACTCCAAAGGCTATCACTGTAGAACTCAGACAGACTCATTTGAGATGCCGAGGTCCCAGCAGTTTCCTTTGCTGCGGGGGTTCTGGGTAGGCAGAGCTGAGTGCTAGAACAGTGATGGGGATGGAAATGACCCCAGGGTGTTTGAAGTCTCCTTCACTAACCACTAAGCATTTAGCCAAGCATATAATATGCACAGTACTATGCAGGGGATAGAAGGTGCTGTTCCCATTTTTGTTGATGGGGACCCTAAGTACCCCCTGCTAAGGTCAGTGGTGTACTTAGGGTCAGAGTCCAGATTAGGAGGACTTATCCCATCTAAGATACATTGTGCCAAGCTTTCTTGGGCTCAGCGGATCTGAGCACGTACCTGGGTTAGCTCACGTCTTGGATCCCACTGTGGTTCTATAGTAGCAGTCTTCAAAGACATTGTTCCCTGGAAGAATGGCTGGTCCCAGCAAGGGAGCAGGTAAGAGAGACACGTGGTTGCTAAGGCAATGGCTCCCCTCCTCCTGGGTACCTGCCATCATGCTCACTGGGTATCTGTACTGGTAGTACCTGGAAAAGCTTTGATAAACCTAGTGTGGGCCCCTTAGGACAAGTGACATCCCAGGGTCATAGAGAGACAGTTTTTCCTGCCTTCTCTGCAGGAATTCCTCATCCCTGAGATGAAGTGGAGAAAAGTGTGCCCTGCCTCCAGGTCCTTATCCCTCCCAGACAACATCCCTTGTATACCTCGGGCATCCATGGACTCCACGGACAACTGCTTTCCCTCCAGGAAGCCTCCCGGGTCTGGTGAGCTCAGGGTGCTCGTCTGTGACAACTGCTTGCAAAGACCAGGCTTTCCCTGCCCCCACTTCTGCAAAATGGAAAAATCACAGCCAGCAAGGCTTCTGAGAGCTGTTTCGTACTTTATCCAAATCTATAAGGAAAAGCCAAGCCTAGAGCCTAAGCAGCTTGAGAATGGGGGGAGGTGGGCTTGCTCCTTGCTGGGCTGGGCTCCTGCCACAGGACGATGCCTAACTGCTCTCCTATCACAGAGAAGGCCGTCTGTGAGGAGGAGAAGCTGGAGGAAGAGCCCAGGAGCGACGGGGAGCTGAGGCTCTGGGATTACCAGCTCCTCAAGGTCATCTTTGTGCTGTAGGTGACTATATTGGGCGTCTGGCTGTTTGGCGCAGGGGCCTCTGTGTGTGGGGCGGTCACTGACCAGAGTGAGGGCAAGGTCCTAAGTCAACTGAAGGCTCCTGAGTGGTGTCTGGAGGCTACCTGGCAGGCCCTTCTGCAGCAAGACAAAGTGCCTCCAGTCTTTATTCATGCACCCCTGTAATTTAGGGTTAAGGCTGTGCAGAAGGGAGGGGCAGGATATGAAGCTATTGAAAAAAGGGAACGTTGCATGGGATTGGGGAGGGGGACAGCTGACAAAATTGGAGAGGGCCATCAGATAGACTAGGGGAGAGCTGTGGCCTTCCTGCCACCCACCTTTAGAGTAGTTTTTGGAACCCCAGACTTGTCTGTAATTCTGCCTAAGGACCAGCCGAGTGGTGAGCATGGTGGGGCCCCTGGCTTCCCCTCTACCTTACCTCATGATCTTCCTCTGGTTCTGCTGGCTGAGTTCCAACTGTCAGCCTCAGCACTTGCTGGGAGAAGGGACGTACCACCTCGGGGGATAATCTTAACGGCCTTGAAGAGGAGGCACAGGACCAAGGTGGCTGGTCAGAGGGAAGGTGGGCTCAGTTTAAGGACCCAGAATTCCTGCGGGGCTTTGAAGACACCTCCATGGGGACAAGTCTCAGGATCCCCACATGGCCTCTGGGAACAAAGATGTCCAGGCCTGAATGTAGCCAAGAGGCAAAGAGTTCTTTAATTCCTCCAGTTGCAGGAAGTAGCTTTGTCCCCACTCCTATTTTTGGTGAGCCTCCAAAAATGTCCTTTTTCCAGATAGATATCCTTCTTATCTTTCTCCAGGATCTGCTTCTTGGTCATGTCCTCATCCTATCTGGCGTTCCGCATCTCCCGGCTAGAACAGCAGTTATGCTCCCTGAATTGGGATGGCCCAGTCCCTGGGCACAGGTGATGTCCTGTCTCTTCCCAGTGCCTTGGGGATTGAAGGTAAAGGACAGGAGCCAATACCTATGGCCAGGCTGCTTGTTGTCCTGGTTGGGCTTGGCCCTGCCCTTGGGCTGGCTTGACAGCTCAATCTGGCAAGCAAGGTTGGACACAGTGTGCAGGGTAAGGCCCCTTCTCTGATCTGGGGATCTCCTGTGTGCAGGTAACAACCACCTTGGCTTCTCCAAGAAGAATGCTCTGGGTGCTAAGCTTCCACCAGTGACCCCCGTGGTTTATGCTGTTGCTGTGCTGAGACTGAATATGAAGGAAAATACTCCAGATCCTTCCTCCTCCCCTCAACTCTTATCCCTGCTGTTGACAAAGCTCCTACAATTTGGGGACTCAGACACGAAGCCAGATTCTTGGAACCAGCCGAGAAATTCTGTATACTAAGCTTCAGCAAGCACTTGGAAAAAGAAAGTTAGCTTGTTCCTTGGAAACGGTCTGGCACAGAGGCAGAGCACTAGGAACCAACCAAGGGACAAAGGCCACGATTTGGTACCTGGAATGCAGCTCTCCACGGCCACGCGGCTCGCGGCAGTAGTGGGACAGAGGCCCGGACGAAAACCACCAGTGGGCCTCTGCTCTCTCCCAACATACTGTGCTCTCACTGGGGCCCCCGAGAGTCCCTGTCCTGGGGGCACCTGTCAGGCCCAGGGCAGACAGGGGAAGTGGGGTGGGGGGGAGCTAGGAACGACGAGAGGAGGGTGTGTAGCTAGGATTCCAGCCAGAGGGGAAGGTTCATGCCCCTCACGAGGAGGCTGGCTAAGGTTCATGCCCCCCACGAGGAGGCTGGCTGAATCCGGAGGACAATACTTGTAGCAGAGGACGTGGCAGGGGCTGCGAAGGAGGGCCGAGGTCCAGTGTTCTGTGTCCTTAGCTGCCACTTCCTGGTGAGACAGGTGGAACAGGGCCTGTGATCACTGTGGTCACAGACCTGGTACTGCACCTTCCCCGGGTGTGCTCAAACAGTTCTGAGGTGCCCCAGGCGGGAAGTAGAGGATGGGGGGGGCGGGGAAGGTCGGTGGCTTCGATTTGAGCTGGCTTTGTACTCCCTGCCTGACTGCCTGAGAGGCCATGACCAATAGCAGCCTGTTGGGGAGGCGTGGCTGGGCAACTGGGCAGCTGGGCATGAGGGTGTTGGGCCACCGCAGGGCAGAGCTCACTCGTGTCACTTGGAATCAGTGAGTTGCAGGCCATGGGGGAGGGTCCTCCACTCCATGAATAAGGTGGGGGTGTCCAAGGTGGGCCTGGTACAGTGCAGGGACCAGGTCAAGGGGTTTTGTCTGATACCTCTGGGGACAAGAGAGGTGGGGGATGGGAAGAGTGGACACAGTGGTAGCTTTGCCTTAGACAGTTCTCCATCTCTCCAAGGGCCTATCTATTCTAAACAGCTCCTCTGTGCCTCAGAACTCTGCCTGCTCTCCCTGGGACTCCAATATGCCAAGACAGTGCCTTTGGGGGTTCTAGAAGGGCCTTCGTGAGGAGGTCAGATGTATCAGGCAGAGTCACTGGTGATGGGGTGAGCGTGTCAGAAACAGTCACTGCTTTTCCTTCTTCAAACACCTGAGAGGTTAATCAGGGAGAAATCCAAGTGGAAATTAGTTATTGTGGAGCCATGATTGTCCTGTTTAAGACAAACCCAAATGAGGATGTGGGGGACGGATCTGTAGGTGAGAAGTCCCTAAGCTCAGACGAGCGGTCTCCTTATCCTCCCCCCGCTGCAGGTTCTAGGATTAAGCTTGGAGCCTGCCTGGGGGGTTGCTGGTACCACCTCTGGGGGTGGCAGGTGAACTCATATTCCGTTCTCCCCACAGCACCACACTGGATAAAAACCCATCCTTCTTTTGGACCCAGCCCCCTTCGTCACTCCTTTATATCACGTTTTCAGGGAAACAGTCCCACTTGCCCCAGTGTCTCCCCGCCTTGGTCCTTGCTGAAGGGCAGGGAGAATAGGTCCATTCTCTGAGTCCTGCTGGGTTGAGCCAGAGGCTCATGGGAGGCCACCAGAGGTGCCAAGCCATGGGTGGCTATGCCAACACGCTGGCGAATCTGGTCTCCAGCCCTGCGCCGGGCTCAGAAAAGGCAAGAGGCTCTAGGGGAGGTGGCTCTGGAGGTCCTCTTGGCTATGAGTGTGCCTGTCACTCTGGAGGGCCCCCTGTCCATTTCTCCCTTTTGTTCCTCAGCCTGGTCCTGTGGGGCCACTGTCCTTTCCCTTGTGCTCATTTGTAAACTATGTGTATTTATACAGACCTGCTTGCACTGGCTGAGTCCCTTTGAGTCCCTGAGAGATTGGTTCAACCATCCTTGGGTTGTTCTGGCACGGCAGTAGCCTTTGAAAATATTTTAAAATATAAACATTCAATTTTTTCTAGTGTCCTGTGGTATGGAAAGTTCATTTCTATCTTTTGACGACTCACAAAAGGTCCTCGTGTTAACATATTTGGCACTAAGGAGACTGACGGGGCCCAAGCCATCCCCAGAATCTCGAGTACTCTGCAAACCTCACAGGGCTGTAGCCGAGCCGCCTCATACTTCAGGCATGCTGGGAAGGCGAAGAGCAGCCATAGGAAACCGCCGCAGCCTCCTGCCTCTGCTGGGGGGACACCGAGAAGGCTTCCCCATTTCTCTGGGGCACCTCCAAAGCAACGTCCCAGGTTCAAATGGTACTGTGCTTCTGACTCAGGAATTCAAGTCCGGAACTCCGAGCCGGAAAATCTCTGTGTCCTTTTCTATGACATCGAGCCTAGATTAGGGAGGTGAAGTTCCCACTTGCGTCACGTTACCTTTCTTTTTCCCTAGGATGCCCCTTCTAGTAGTGACTCATTCATTCAGCAAATCCTGAGCCCAGAGCACGAGCCAGGTACTCTGCGGGGCACTGGAGATACAGCAGTGAACACGACAGGCAGTATCTCTGGGTCCCCATGGCACTTACACACCATGTAAACATAAGTTCCAAGTAAATATGTAAGCAAGCAAGGTAAGTGCAGATTGTGATTAGATTCCATGAAGGGGGGAAACGGTGATATGAGAGTAAATGGGGAGTTGGCTGTAGATGGGTGGTCAGTCAGGAAAGGTTCTCTGAAGTGACTTTTAGATTGACGTTAAAGGATGAGGAACCAGCCACGGGAGGAGCATTTCGTGGCAAATGGATCAGTAACTGCAAAACGTAGGAGAGAACGTATATGTCTCTTCTGCACAGAGAGACTCTGCATGACGCTAGGATATTGATGAGGTGGAAGAGTGACGTGGAAAGAGGTTGGAGAGGTCAACACCAACAACATAGGCAACCAGTTAAAAAATGGGTAAGGAACTTGAATGGACATTTCTCTGAAGAAGAGATATAAATGGCCGACAGGCACATGAAAAAATGCTCAACATCACTAGTCATTAGGGAAATCAGAACCACAATCAGGCACCACTTCACGCACATTAGGACGGCTACTCTCAAACAGAAAACAAGTGTTGGTGAGGATGTGGGGAAACTGGAGCCCTTATGCACTGCAGGTGGGAATGTAAAATGGTGTCGCCACCGCTGTGCAAAATAGTACGGCAGTTTTTCAAAAAATTAAAGGCAATTACCATATGATCCAGTAATACCACTCCTGGCTGTATACCCAAAAGAACTGAAAGCAGGGTTTGAAGAGTTATCTATCTGCACACCCACGTTCAGAGCAGCATTACTCATAATAGCCGAAAGGTGGAAGCAACCCAGGTCAGGTGTCTATTAGCCAATGAATGGATAAACAAAATGTGGTATATGCATACAATGGAATGTTACTCATCCTTAAAAAGGAGGAAAATTCTGACACATGCTATAACATGGATGAACTTTGAGGACATTCTGTCAAGTGAAATAAGCCAGCCACAAAAAAACAAACATTGGGGCACCTGGGTGGCTCAGTCAGCTGAGCCACTGTCTCTTGATTTCAACTCAGGTCATGATTGCAGGGTCTTGGGATCGAACCCCTGCATTGGGCTCTGTGCTCAGCGGGGAGTCTGCTTCTCCCTCTCCCTCTGCTCCTCCCCCTGCTCACACTCTCTCTCTCAAATAAATAAATAAATCTTTAGAAAAAAAAAGACAAACACTGTATGATTCCACTTATATGAGGTACCTAGAGTGGTCACATTCATAGAGACAGAAAGTAGAGTGGTGTTTGCCAGGGGCTGGGGGGAAGGGAAGCGAGAGTTATTGTTTAATGGGCATAGAGTTTCAGTTTTACAAGACGAACAGAGTTCTGGAGATGGTGATGATGGTTGCACAACAATGGGAATATACTTGACACGATGGAACTACACACTTAAAAATGATGAAGACGGTAAATTTTATGTGTATTTTACCACACACACACATACAGGCACACAGATAAAGAGGCTGGAGAGGTAGACAGGAAAAGGGAGTTTGGACTTTATACAATCCCTGGGTACTGCTGCTCAGATCAGAAAGTTTGGAGTCTGTAGGATCAGTGGTTGCTGAAACCAAGTGCTTTCTTTTGCCAGATGAAATAAACACATGAATGTAATATGCAGGAAAATATGGCTGATAATCTACATAATATACCCCCTTTCCATTATTCTCAGGGACTGGTTCATAGCAGCAGCATCACAGAGAGGGCATATAATCTTTATAATTTTAAAGTTGAAATGAGCTAACTTTATAAGGAAGAAGCAACTGCCTTAAATTTGGAGAAATTGGAGAATTATATATATATAAAATGCAGGAGCCTGGGTTTTACAACACAGGTGTAGCCAGACAAGGCAGGGTCATTGGAGGAGCAGGAGCTCTGGTGAAAAGGGCATTCAGGAATGAGGGGAGCTCTGGCAGAACCGTAACCCACAGGGGTGTCCTGCGAGTAAGAGACTGCCCCCACCCCTACCCCCGGCCCCCAGCCGGCCAGCCTTGGCCCGCCTACCTGGTGGCCATGGCATTAGGACACCTGTCGAGCTGGGTGAGGTCATGAACCTGGGCTGCCTCTCTCTCCCAGCTGCGGGGCTGCAGAAGCAGGGCATCCTAGGGTAGAGAAGCTTCTCAGAGAAGGCTCTCAGGTTTGCCTCAGGCGGGGACTGAAGCCAGATCTCCAGGCTGGTCTCCTTGAGGGGGAAGAGATGCCATCTGGGCCACTAGGTGGCAGCAAAGCCCAGCAGGAGCTGGAGCCGCAGCGAGGACCAGACTTCATTCTCCTTTGTCAAAGGCCCCCGCTGCTGTCCCCTTGTGGGGTGAAACCGGGCCAGGTCTGGTCCGAGTCCAGTGCATTGCCTATCCAGTGGCAGAAGGGGAGCTCTGGCAAGCTCCCGTGGCTATTTCTCCACGGTCTCCTTTGGTTGTTTCTCTTCTCCTTTTCCTCTTTTTTCATGGGGGGGAGGGGTGTTGGTGGGGGGCAGAATGGAATGCCTTCCCAAGGGCTCTCCAGACCTGAAGGTCAGGCCAGTAGGGAGGCAGAACTGGCAGGTGTGAAGAACCAGCTTGTGTTGTTTGGGGGTGTGGGGTGAGGGGACGGGTGGATGTAGGAGGGGGAGGGTGGGGAGCTCAGCTTCTCTTCCAACAAGGGCATAGACATCCCAGGTTTCCCCTTGACCTGCCCTTGCTGTCGGTAGCATCTTCTCTTACTCAGGGCACAGAATTACAGAAACCTGGCTCCCCCAAAGTGTGATCTCAGGAGGCCACAACACTCCTTCCTCTCCTACCGTTATTCAGGGATGAGGGGCTAGAACCCAGAAGGCAGAAGATACAGGTTTAGAGGTTTAGCACTGTTTTGTCCACCTGAAGTGAGAGGGAGGGAGGTGTTTAAGCCCCTGAAACAATAATCCAGAGAAACTCTAGTCCATTTCCCTGAGTGCCTGACCTCCACAGAGCCAAGGAGCACCTGGCGCCCAGCAGGCCCAGCTTGCCCGGCCCCCGTTGTGTTGGCAGGGCTCCTTGCCTTCCCGGAATGTGTTCCTTCTTGTTTGCCACTCAGTGCCTGGCCCAAAGCCAAACCTGGGCTGCTCGGAATACCAGGCCCCACACAAGATCTCAGACAAGGCTCTCTTGGGGAAAGGCCAGGACCTCTTTGCAGCCTCATCCCACTGGTGCCCACTTCTCTAGGGATATCAGAGCCTCCAGCTGCTGAGAGCAGAATCACTTAGGGAGGATGCAGCTGGGACCCCAGCAAAGCTGAGTGTGGCATATCAACATCCTATCCTATTGGCAGCCTTCTAAATTGGGCCAGGGTGGGCAAAGCTTACTCATAAGCTATTCATTAACTTGTTAAAGGCAGAAAGGTTGGCTTAGGCACCACTTTGAGAAAATGTGACACCCACTTCTCCTGGATTCACTCTAGCATGAAGGAGTGTTGTTAATTGGTGTAGAATTTCTGATGCAAGTTTTTCTTTGCTGTTAGTTCCAAATACCAGGCTAGTCTGAATGCATGCTCTCTCCAGTACATAACTACTATTAAAAGATTTATTAAGCACATTCTGTGGGCTCCTGATTGTGTGCTCCTATAGATACTATGATACTATAATTTTCTGAGCACTTAACTGGGTACCAGGCCCTGTACAAGGTGCTTTTTATACTCATCTCATTTGACTCTCAATACAAGAATCTCTCAATACAACTATACAGTTTTCTTTTTTTTTTTTTTTTAAAGATTTTTATTTATTTGACAGAGAGAGATACAGCGAGAGAGGGAACACAAGCAGGGGGAGTGGAGAGGGAGAAGCAGGCCTCCCGCCGAGCAGGGAGCCCGATGCGGGGCTCGATCCCAGGACCCTGAGATCATGACCTGAGCCGAAGGCAGACGCTTAATGACTGAGCCACCCAGGTGCCCCAAACTATACAGTTTTCACACCTTATGCTGTGCAAACTGAGATTGAAAGGCCAGAAATACAATGTGGAACCCTTCAGGGAGTTCATTGAGGAAACAAGACAGAGGGAAGAGCTATTCTAACAGTGTAAAACATGTGAGCCCATGGTAAGTACAGAAGGGAGTGGTACAAAAAGGGACCAACTCATTGGCAGAGGGGTGTGCAGCGTGTGTGGGTTTCAAAGAATGAGTAAGAGCTGGATCAGAGAAGAGATGTGGGGAGGAGCCTACAAGGTACGTGTGTGAGGGATAACATCGGTAAAAGGATGACCGTGTGGAGGATGATGCCGATGAAAACTTGTGAGAAGCAGAGTTCCTGCTGGGGAATGAAAACACAAGTGGGCAAAATCCTGAGGGATTTAAATGCCAGGATGAGAAGGAAAGATTTGAACTTTCAGACAATGAGGAGCTACTGGAGCTACTGAAGCTTAGGAGTGATGTTTAGATAAATTTGGTGGTTTAGGAATGCTGGTTTGGCAGTGGAGTACAAAGCAGATTAAAAGTCCAAGTGAAATAAGTCAATCAGAGAAAGACGTGTATCATATGATCTCACTGATATGAGGAATTCTTAATCTCAGGAAACAAACTGAGGGTTGCTGGAGTGGTGGGGGGTGGGAGGGATGGGGTGGCTGGGTGATGGACATTGGGGAGGTCTTATGTGCTGTGGTGAGCACTGTGAATTGTGTAAGACTGTTGAATCATAGACCTGTACCTCTGAAACAAATAATACATTATATGTTAAAAAAAAGAAGAAGATAATAGGAAGGGAAAAATGAAGGGGGGGAAATTGGAGGGGGAGACGAACCATGAGAGACTATGGACTCTGAGAAACAAACTGAGGGTTCTAGAGGGGAGGGGAGTGGAGGGATGGGTTAGCCCAGTGATGGGTATTAAAGAGGGCACGTATTGAATGGAGCACTGGGTGTTATATGCAAACAATGAATCATGGAACACTACATCAAAACTAATGATGTAATGTATGGTGATTAACATAACATAATAAAATAAAATTAAAAAAAAAGTCCAGCAGAATAGTCGCGATCATGGTTTCTCAACTTCAGCACTACTGATATTTTGGGCTGCCGAGTTCTTTGTTATAGGAGTTTTCTGTGCATTGTAGGATGCTTAGCTGCATCCTTGGCCTCTGTCCACCTCACGCCAGTAGCACCCCCCACCCCGCCCCTTGTTGTGATAACCAAAGACATCTTCAGATGTTGCCAAAGGTCCCCTGTGGGGCAAAACTGCCCCTGATTGGGAATCACTGGTCTAGATGGCAGGAGATTAGGGCTCGGGCCTCAGGATATTGGCAGGTATTTTCACAACCACTGTGTCAATCTATTGACTTTTAGAATAGCTGACAAAAATAAAAGTGGTTTCTTTTCCACAGGAAATTCATCATCAATGCCAAGAACTTAATGGCCTAGAGAAAAGAGGTCTCAGAAGTAGATCATTCTGCATATTAGAAACCTCTAGAGGATACTCCAAAGCTACAGATAATGTGTTCTACACTCATTAGTCAGAAAGTGGCTGATACCAAGGTTTTTCTCCCTATCTCCCACCCCCAAATCCTATATTGCTCAACAGCCACTTTGAGTAAGGAATGCCCAATCTGTCTGCAGGCAGAGAAGCTACTCATCTGTAATTTTGCTAGGTTTGCATTCACTTTTCCAGACTTTTGTTTTTGGCAATTAGTAAAGTCGATGGGTAGAGCTTAGCCTGCCAGTGAAGAGTTATGATTTACTGAGATATGTCTTTGTCTAAAGGAGGAATCAGTGAAGTACAGCCCACTAGTTGGCTGCGTATTTTTGTAAATAGTTTTATTGGAACACAGTCATGCCCATTTGTTTATATACAGTCTCTGGCCACCCTAGAGCTCCCAAGGCAGAGGCTGTGTAGTTACAACAGAGACCATATGAACTGTAAGCCTATAATATTTATTAATATTTAAGAAAAAGCTTGCTGATCCCTGGTCTAAAGGAAAATGTGTATTCTTGTATGAAATTGTGGACTTAGATTTTCATTCTGTTGCTGGGGATGACAGATTTTCATTTTTTTTTTCACTCAGATAATTATCATTGAGTGAGTTAGGCATTGAATGACTTAGGCATGATGCTGAGTGCTTGGGATATATTAGTGAACAAGGTACAAAGAGATCTTTAGCTTCATGGAGCTTATATATTGTAGTGGTGAGTGGACGAAGA